CGCGTGGCTCGTGCGTGGTGTGCGGGCTTGCCTACCCCACAGTTCGCAGGCGCGCATGCTGACGTCCTTCTGAACGGGCCCCTCCCCACTCCGCGTTACTCGCTCGCCGCCTGCTGCTGCGACGTGCCCCACCGTCTCCCCTCGATAGTCGGCACCTCTCCCTGCCACCAAGTAGTGCGGGCAGGTCAGCGGTGAGGTCACACGGTCGGCAGGGCGCTTGCGGCTCCCCTATCGACTCATGATAGGCAAACGGTGTTCTGATTCGTAAAGGAAACCGGATAGACTTGAATGCAAAAATTTGACGCGTGAGCGCTACTTACGACTCGTGTAGCGTTGTTGCAATTGCTTCTTGTACATATACTGACCTGTGTGTTTCTGTGTCTGATTGCATGTACCTGTGAGAGGAGAAGAGATCTGAGTGTCAGTCGCTGCTGCTGCTCACCTGCTCTGCTTGCTGGCTTCTTCCCTGTGCACTGCTGCCTTTGCAAGATTTAAAAAAAAAAAAAAACTCACTCCAGCTTTTTCTGCACACTTTAGCTCCTGAAATAAAAGCTTGCAAATGTGAATGTACTCAATTACATAATCGTGTCCTTGTTTCTTTTTTACCTTTTCCTTTGCTGCTCTACAAACTGGCTGGGATTCGGAGCAAAGGTAAGGCATCGACAGCGTTGGAGTAAGTCTTATTTATGACAGCAGAACATCGCAAACCCACGCAAAAGAGCTCATGTAAAATTTCTATAATAATCAGTTGTAAGCACATTTCCCAATTTTCTTTCTATTCGAAGTGAAATCGGAGAGAAAGGGGGAGGGGGGGGGGCAGCCCCGCAACAAGGAGCAGTTCAGGTGAAAGCGCAGTCTGCAACTGTGGCGCTGAGTGAACGAGCGAAGGTCACTCCCACAAGGAGGCGTGCGGTTCGGGTGCCTATCCGCTGCTGAATAGGTCTTGGGGGAAGGGCGGCTTCTGCCTCACCACATCGGTGAGATGGTGAGGAGGGATGACCGAAGAACTAACTACGTGCGTACCCGAGAGGAGCCTCTGAACCGTACGGGGCGCTGGCACGCGACCTTCCGCGAGGAAGTGGGGAGGGGAGGGGACGGGCCTGTGAGGGCACGGAACTTCGGCAGAGTGATTACATGTACGAAAAATGGACTCTGGTGAACTCAGAATCAGCGAAACGGGCCGAAATCAGAAACTGTCGGTCAAAAAAGTGTGTCTAAACTTTTGAGAAAAATGCCTCCAAACAACCAAATAACGCTATAAAACGTTGTAAAACTGAGCTAGTAGCGGCGGGATGACCTGCTGTGGTCGCGCACCAATCGCAACACCTCGGGTACACGATAGGTGATTCCAGAGCAGCCTTCCAGAACTGGCGCTTCGCTACTCGCACTCCTCGGAGAAAGGCCACCATTATTGCAGGAACGGATCGTCGACAGTGCCAGTCCACCGCCTCATCGCACAATTCATCTTTGCATCTGTTCCTGTATTGCACATCAAGCATCGAATCGGTGGATTAAGAAGAACGAAGCTCACGTATAAAACACTCCCCGCGAGCAGTAATACTAGGTGGCTGATTAACCCCGCAAACTTGAGTAGTTATGCTGTACCGCACGCACGAGTGCGGTCGGGCTTGCCTATCGTCCCTGTCCACGGCGCCTAACGCGCCGAGGGAGTAGCCAACAGCATAACTACTCAAGTGTCAATCAGCCACCTGGTATCATGTAAAAGTGTGATTTCTGTGAAAGCGCGTTCGCCGACGAGGTGAGATGTTGGTATTAGAAAAACCTACAGGAAATGTCTGAGATGCGCCCAGTCAATTTGTCATCAGGCCAGCGACTGTAAGTTTGGATGACGGTCCATTCCGTACAGGATGTACCGTAACTTCGCAAACCGTCTTTTTGGTCAATACAGCACTTGACTAAGACACTGAAGTACGGTCTATATCTTTACGGTCTGGCCCGTACATAACATATACACAGGGTGGTCCACAGACCCCTTCCCTCATTTTGCTTATGCTGTACCGCATGCAGGCGTGCGGCCGGGTTGCATACCCGCACGGGGCCGGAGGGCGCCGTGGTGAGAAACGGTAGGCAAGCCCGCCCGCACGCACGCATGCGGTACAGCATAAGCAAAATAAAGGAAGGGGTCTGTGGACCACCCTGTACAGGACGGATCGTAGGAAAACCGTACTGCCTTGCAGCAGTTTTAACAGTGGTACCGACAGAGACAGGAAGAGAGAGAAGGGAAGGGGCGCGGGCGAAGGATGGGGAACGCCCTAGGAACTACCCCGAGAACTCAAGGAGCCTTCTCAGCCTTCCGGGATGAATCGATGGGAGGGGTTTCAGAGATCTTCGGTGTTGTACCGGGTGATTCAGAGAAGACGTAGGAGCGCGCGGGTTTGCCTACCCGCTCAGCCCATAATAAGGCGCCATAGCCCCTTGGGTAGGCAAACCCGCCAGCTCCTGCGTCTTCTCTGAATCACCCGGTACGACGTGGCAACATTTCTGGACTCAGGTGGACACAGGATCGGCAAAATGAGCCGAAATCATAAACTTTCTGTTGCGAAAGTGCCTCCAAACTTTTTGCGGAAAAGCCTCTCAACAACCAAACAACGCTTAAAATCGTGTAAAATCGTGCTAGATGTTCCTCGGAACGGTCACAAGGCACAAAGCAGCCATTAGAGCGTCCAAGACTGACATAAAAACCAGCCGATGCTCACATAACAAAGCTAGTCGGCGGCGACAGCCAGGGATAGCGTGTCTTACTCGTTTCCCGCAGGGGCCGCCGCTGGTGGCCTATGCAACCAACGGCTAGCTCGAGTTCCAGACCCCTGTGCTAAGGTATCGTCCAATTAGTAAGTACGCCTGTAATGCTTGAATTCATTCCGAGAATTATGAGAGCTCGGCGCCTGGGAGACTCCGGGTAGGCCACCCCGCGGTGCACGCATGCGTTCCCGGCAAGATGTTGCCTACCCATCAGGCGCCCCGCGAGCCTGAGTGGCTGCAGTTGGTAGTTTATTAACTGACAATGACGGGCGTACTTTCTTTTGGATGATCCCTAAAGCTAACCAATCGCAACACGTGGGGTACACAGTAGTGCGATTCAAGAGCATCTCTCAGGTGACAGGTCTTCGCTCTGATCTCCCTCCGAGTCGGCGGGTCGCCTGTGAGGGTGGCCGGTGGCGGCCGCACCATATCAATGCTTCAGATCACGCTAACCAATACTACAATGCGCCGCAGCAAGCGTGTAACAGTCTGCACGCAGGACTTGCAGTAAGTGTAAAGAACCCTGCTGGCTGAAGAAGGGCACGCGCCCAGAAGGTAGGCCACCCATTCTACACCACAAAAATGACAGCTTATAGCGAATCAATGTTGCGTCACCCAAAAGGAATACTGGTATAAAGGAAGGAAATAGACAGACTTTAATTTGAATTTATGTTTACTCAATAAGAAATACTATAATAGATATGAAAATAGTCAAAGTTACATAAGTAGCAAGAAAGGTTTTCTTCTATTTACATTGAGAATAAAATAACAGAGCAGTAGAGAACATTCCAAAGACGTGATTTTAAATTGACAGGTAAATCTTCATTCTTGAAAAAGGTAAAGCTCCTGTGGTTGGGAGTTGTATTGAACTCTGTAAATAAAATAGGAAAGAAAAAATTAGCAAGTTGTATGCATTTCCTCCAAAGTATGAGTAATTAGATACAAAAACAGATAATGGTAATGTTGTACCTTAGACATGAAACAGCGTTGAGATGCAGCCATTTGCAGCGTGGAAGTGAAAGGTCCCAGTGGAGTATCAACAAGCCGCAACACACCACAGGCAGAGCCGTTCTCCAAACTGACCGTCCTGCAAGCTGAATAAAGCGTAACACATTAGTAACGAAATTGATTTTACATACACTACTTTAATAAACATCTCCTATAGTTGTGAATAGTTTGAGAGTGCACAGTAGAGACAACAGTGCAAATAAAACCTTTTACAAGTCTTTCCTTCCAGAATACTTTAGCTGACTGGCTTACTTAAAAGAGGTATGCACAACAAGGAGAAAAAACAAGGAACTTTTGGTAAAGATCAAGAGGAAAAGAGGGGGGGAAAGGGGTAGTACAGAGATCATATCACACTCACACGCACAAATTCAACAAACCAAACCACAAAACATCCAGAAGGCAGAAAGACAAAAGTACCAGTTCAAAATTCAAAGGCAAAACAGAGCAAGTCATTCAATAAAGCATCGCAATAAAAATGGCAGGTTCACATAGTAAGCAGCATAAGGACATATCAGAATACAAGAGGCACAAGAACACTCATAAACACAAGAGAAATTCACACATATATAAGTACAGGCACAAATTGCAGCAAAACCATGAGCAATCAAACACTTTCATCAAACAAGGTAGCAGAACAGTGCAATCAGAGGGCAAAACACAGCACACGAGAAACATATACAAATAATATAGGCACAAATTATAGCAGAACCATGAGCAAACACTTTTAAGAAACAAGGTTGCAGAACAGCACAGCGGAAAGGGCAAAATAATGAACAGAACATGACAAAAACACAGTCAAAAGAACATCCTCAAACATTGACATTATAATGGGCACTTCAATTTCAATAGACAGAAAAGGAATGGCAGTAAGGGAATTTACTTGAAATCAGAGTTTAAGGCAGGGAGGTGGTTGAGGTAATATGCATGTTTCTTTTGACAATTATGGGGAAGAGAATTAGTGCCAGTTTGTCTGACAGCATGTTTAAATAATTTTTAGCCCCATAAAGATAGAAGTTATTTAAATAAAATTGAAGGAAGCTTGACACCATTTGGTCTCAGGTGTGCAAACTCAAACTATCCTTTTCTTTTGCTAAAGTTGTTACTATAGGTGGCGGTAGAGGAATGTCTAAAACTTGACAAGGAGTAGAAAGAAAATAGAAGGGTACTTAGCTTTGGCACACCGCGCTGACAACCAAGGGAGACAACAAGCTTAACTGAGTGGGTAGATCCTCCAAATTGACACTTTGCTTGGTTGGCTGCCTGTCAACAAAATGGTTCCGTTAGTTTTAAGAATCTCCAGGTGCCTTTTCAAGAGATATGTACAGAAACTTACGTCATACAGAAAAAGAGGATGAAGGAGTTCCTTAAACGGCTTTCAGAGAGAAATTAAATAGAGTAAGCTGTGCACATTGTCGACAGGTAGACATCAATTCCAGCAAAGCGCAGGAACTTCTCTCTCAAACAAAAAAGGAAAAGAGATGCAACACAACTTCGAGTCCTGAAAAGGTAAAGAGAAAGTAAAACTTACAATCGTAACTCTCAGAATGCATAATGTAGATCAAAATAAAACATAGAGCAGTACGTGCCAGCAGTGTGGGTGTTTCGTTGTAATCCATCTCCCTCATCAAATAAATGCCCTCCTCATCGAGAGAAGAATTGCGGCAGAACCATTTTCAAATTTCAATCATACCGTGGTAATTGAGCCTAAAGGATCGACATGAGAATTAGTTTGCACTCCAATAAAAAACAAATCAAAAGTCTACACATAAATGTAATAATACTTACAATTGTTCACGGTAATTAGGTACAAATAATCATCAATGAAAGATCAATGCCATGACGAGTCTTTGAAATCCACCTCAAACCTACAATGGAAAAGAAAAACAGCAATCAGTTTTAAAGACACTGCCAAAGTTGAGAATATCGGAGCACTTGCTCTGCAAATGTACTTACCAGAGGGGAAATTAATATACAGGCGATTAGCAGAGCAGATGTCACAAGCTTGGAATATTCCTCGATAAGCAAACGACTAAGAATTTTTGTTGGAAAACATAGAAGAAAGTTGCAAACCTGGAAATGAAATCAAAATGTTAACTGAACCATTAAGATTAGTGCTAGTACCTTGCTGAAACAATACCTACCATGTGGGTGTATCACAGAGAGTCCTTGGCTCTTTTTATGCTGACTGGTCCATTAAAATAACTTAAGAGAAAATCTTGACTGCATTGTCATGGTGGTGAAAATTAATCATAGCTGCACCTGGAATAAATAAAAACAAAAAAGTTATGGGTACGGTAGTTACAATTAGAGATATTTCTTCACTGCAAATACATACCTCTGAAGTTTATCTAAGTCATGAATACTGGCAGCACCCAGTACAATATGCAATGGCATCTTTGAGTGATAAGTATGAGAATGAAAAGGCTTTTAAATCAAATCCCCGGAAAGAATTATATAAAGAAAGACAGACAAGCCAGTAAACCCGAGGAAACCCAGAGTAGGTTTACAGTGCCATTTAAATGATATGAGATAGAGATTAAGACACAGGAAATCATATTAAAACATCACATCAACAAAAACAACATTTGCAAGACAATAATTTCAACACTTCATCGAAACAAAGAAGACAGAAAACATTGCATTGAGAACACAGCACAGAGTCAAGAAAATTTCAAACCATTCAGTAAAGAATCAGCATTAAAATAGTCAATCAAAGTAAACAAATGCACAACACTTCAAAGACAGAAAAAGAACAGCAATCAGAACAGTAACATAAATACGAGCACTCAAACAGCAAGGGCAAGGCACAAGGATTACTCGACAAAAACCAAAATGTTCATCAACAAAATAAGCAATATCAAGTCAGTGGCAACAACAGAGACAAACACAAAACACTTTCAAAAGAGAGGGCAGAAATTCAGAGCACTTCAAGACAAGTCCAGCAATAAACAAACAAGCACAGAACAGCAAGTCAGTGGCAAGAGCAGAGAGTACCAAATCAACACAAAACACTTTCAGAGGCAGGGCAGATAAAATCAGAGCACTTTCATAAACAAGAACAGAACAGCAATAAGAACAAGCAAATCACACACAACAGAACGAGCACTCATCACCAAATAGAAAACAAAATGCATTTTCAGAGAACCCAAAAACAATTCAGACACTTTGTAACAGTGAACACATCAAGAACATTGTTGACAAGTTGCAAACACATGACACAGAAGATAGATAGATAGATAGATAGATAGATAGATAAATAGATAGATAGATAGATAGATAGATAGATAGAGAGAGAGAAGAAAGAATGAAATTAAAAGTGCCCCATAAATACTGATAAAATTAATTTCCCCGCCTTTTCAAACTCATTCTCAAACCTCAGATTGCCAAAGGCATAGGTCGCATTGAGTTGCATTGACCATGACGATAAGTCCTACTTCATGAAAAGCAATAGACCACTTTCACCTGACCAGGTCAGCAAATCGAGTTTCAAATAGCTCCAGGTTACGTAATTCATTCATCAAGTGGGACGTCACTGCCTGTCAACAGAATCAGATTATTAGCCTTCACAATAAGAAATATGATAAAATAATATAATAAAATCCACATATGGCAAGTAACCTTTTCACTTTTAACCCTCCAATAAATTCTCAGCCCAGGCGCAAACACCATTCAACAACAAATTACGAGCAAACTGCTCTAGGATTACGGAACTTGTGCATAAAGCTGGACATTACCTCCTGTCAATAGAATAACATTGTAAGTATACCAAATATAATGTAATCCAAATGTGATTAATAAGAGACCAACGGGTACTGACCTTTTTAACCCTTTAAGAAATTGTCAACCAATTCGCAAACATCATTCAACAGCAAGAGCAGGAGGAAGGTTTGGAAATAATTCGCATAGCAGCCAAAACCTGTTGAGAGAGGACATAAAAGTAAATAATCTACATAGAAATTGGAAATTCTACAGAAACATCGTCCAGCCAAGGTAACATTGTAGATTTAAACGTGTGATATACACAACCAACCAAGTACGACATAACCTCTGCTGGGCAAGATAATAGCGGTCATTTGAAATCTTTTCATTCAATTTTTAATCGGAGATAGGAAACAATGCAACTGCTGGTGGTTCTGACTATTAAGGTTCAAGGACATACGGTTGTTTTCTGGAAAATATGGAATATTTACAAACCTGTTGCCGTTTGATCGCAGAGGCTGGTAACATTACTTCGGACTCAACTCAAAAAGAGACGACCACCAGCGATTTGAATTGAACTGAGACTTGGAACTATAGATCACCATATCTCGTGTTTTATATTAATATTATGAAGTTAATTCAATAACAGAGACGTAGAGACGAACAGAGACACTCATGACTCGACAAACCGGAAACTGCAAATTGACAACCCCAGCCAACTGCAATGGCTGTTTCCGGTCGCTAGCCGTCCCCCCACCACCATAGCCGGCCTGGGATCTTGCCACCTTGGGAACTGCAAATGAGGGGCATAAAACCCTATTTTGTCTGGTTTGGTCGCCCAGCTCGCGATTTTAACGTCACTGTTATTCATATCTAAGCACATTTGGTGTATACGTTTCATCGTTGTTTAATGTCAGTTCCTTCTAATTATAATTGCGAACCATAATAATTTTCTGGGGATTCTGGGGATGGCTGGCTGCAGTGTGTCAACATGCACCATTTCTTTGAATGTTTCTGCTTTCATTCTGGATTGTTTATTTCGTGATTTCGAATATTATTTACAATGCAGCGTCTCGTTTTGACCAAGGAAATGAAAAAGATAAAGTGTTCTGTGCCGGGGTGACGTGCTTTTGCTGTATCAGGTGATTGCAAGACCGTTTTCCACTTTCCATCTGACACGAACAGGTTAGTGTGTTTCTGTGGTAGGTGGTTATTGTAGAACACTTTCCTCTTTAAAGCTCTGTGCAAGAGTGTGGGAAATTCTTGGACAGTAAAATGGACCAATATTAAATCTAAAGAAAGATGTTGAAATTCAAGAAAGCCTTCTATAGTTATAATAATTTTTTGCACCCCAACTCCACAGCACAAAGTTTTATAAGCGCTTGGAGTTTTGGGTTGAGCATTTCAAAAATGTTTCAACATACTATAACCCAAGAACGGTTTAAGTTACGGGGTATGTTTTTTTTCTTGACATGGTTTCTTATCAAGTACTTCAAGTTCCCTACATAAAAATATTTTTATCAGCAGTCTCTGACGAAGTCAATAAATTCAGCCCTGTGTCCCCTTCAATTTATATATGTGTTATTTAGCATCATCATATACAATGCAGTGTGCTGGTTATGGTCCTTGGAAATGTAATCTTTAATGTTATAATCATAATTTGTGTGGGGCATATTAGATAAGCCATGACATTAATTATACTGTATTTAGTCCTCTTGAAATAAACTTTTAACTCTGATTGTTTTGAACAACTAATTTTACCTTACTTTCAAATTCTGTCAAGCTTTTCTTAATGTTTTGGTTCTGGTTTGCAGCTGTGGCTCCTCATGACCGGGAATCAACCTTTGCCAGTGCATCAACACCTAGGAGTACACCGTGTAGACCTGGAGCTACTCAAGCCATTATTCCTCATGTCAGTAAGAGTCCTGGTGACTCCTACACAGTCACTCCAGCCACAGCCAGTGTTACTCCACTAGCATCATTTCAGGTAACTGTAACTTTTTTAAATGTCCTATATTAATGAAGAGACGTAGAATGTGTAATAAAATTTTCTGTTTGCAGTTTCCAGCCAGAAGAAAAGTTCTTGCAAACTGGCAGCCATCACCCTTGCCTTCTTCTCCTGGAAGAGTAGGCTGCACTATTTGTCTCAGAATTCACTTCTGTTGTGGCCGCAGTTTCTAGAACTTGCCGAAACTGGAAAGGTGAGTTGTTTCATATGTGTATTTAAATAATTATAACATAATTTCTTTAACTTTTCAACTAGAGGACCTTTCAATTATGTTTACTAACTGTTTTATAACCTTTTATAATTTCAGATTCATTCCTTCACAAGTCCCTCAGCTCCAAGATTTTTCGAGGTCCAAAAGGCATTTCGCTTCTTTAGATTTTGTGCAATGATTGTAATAATGTATTATTATGGAATATGTCATTTTGTAAAATCTATTATGTTACATATTTTATATTAATGTTTTTGTGGTTTATAATTCTGGAATACATTTGAGTTATCTTATCTATGTACTTTAACTTTGAAATTCAAACCCATCTCCCTCTATCTTTTATGGAACGACCACACTGATCAACAAAAAATATCCCACATGTGGAGCCTGCCCCGCCCGATACGGCGACATTCATTGTCCGTAGGTTGGCAGTATCCGAGGCCGGCTCCGTGACGTCACGGCAAACAAGCGACTCGGCCGTAACACGGCAGTTGGCTGGGGTTGCAAATTGACAATTCACTGCCTCACTCTCATTGCCTTGCCTTGCCTTGCTGTCACGGAGCATAAAGGGAATGGAGGGTCGGCTATGCATACGAAAAAGACTACAAAATCCGGTGGTGGTTGGAGTTTCGCCGGGCGGCCACCTAGATGGCGCGTCAGTCGCTAGCGCTCACTTCTCGGCGGCTGCTCCACGGCGCCTTACGGGCGAGAGGGTACGCTCAGTCAGTCTCCCGGCCCTAGCTCTTATTTTATCAAGTTTTGACGGTGGGGGTATTGGGGGTAATTTGCAGCCCAAAGTTCAAGCCTTCAAACGCTGCAATTGTCAAGCCGATACGATCCATACAGCCCGAACGGGAGAGAAAATAACGTAGCCAACAACGGTAGACGGAGCGTGCCGCCGTGCCGCCCGGGCCGCTCGGGTCTGAGCCGCTCACAGCCAGCATGGGCGCACGGTAAACATTCGTACCTTGCACGCGGCCGCGCCCCGAAACCGTTGAACTTAGACATTTGGTGTAAGCGACGCGTTTGTAGATCAGGGTTTAAAGAATACGTCACTATAATTTGTTTTCTGGTAAGTCGCATGCAACCCGAACGGGAGACTGAGCAACCGGGGGTTGCAATGCGTCAGGACACATTGTACTGAAGTGAATTCGCAGCACTGTATGTGGCAGATCCGAAAACCAATTTCAGCGATGTGTCCTTTGAAACTTGTTCTTATAACGCGTCGC